TTTTATATTATCTTTTGGAGTTAACATCTAAATGTCCGAAGATTTCATTGTGATAGCTCATAAATATCCATAATTTCTGGAATTTTTCCTTTCTGAGGTATTACAAGCTAGTCTTGACTTACGTGTAATGCTCTTGTTTTTTTTTTTTTTTTTGGGGGGGGGATAAGTTTAAGTTTTGAAGCTTGTATGCCACCTTTTTCAAAGGTTTTTGGGATGATAATATATTTTTTAGCGATGTCAAATTCTGCCCTATATGTTATGCAGGTAAGGTTAAAGATGTTAGTAAAGTTCAGACACTTCTATTCAGTGCTACTTTGCCAGACTGGGTCAAGCATGTATGCTTCTATGAAAATTTTTTTCTTGTCACAAAAGTTTTGTCTTCTGATCAGATGCTCTGCCTTGTGGTTTTTCATCTCATGGAATGTGTAATTTTGTTGCCAGATTTCCTCAAAGTTTTTGAAATCAGATAAGAAAAATGTTGACCTTGTTGGGAATGAGAAAATGAAGGCTAGCACCAATGTTAGGCATATTGTTCTTCCATGTACAAGTTCTGCCAGGTCCCAGCTTATCCCAGACATTATTCGCTGCTATAGCAGGTAAATTTTTATAATTTATTTTTTGTATGTGCATAACATTTTTATGTCTCTGTTGGATCTATTGAATCTGGTTTTGTTTCAGTGGAGGCCGGACAATTATATTTACTGAGACAAAGGAGTCAGCTTCTGAGCTTGCAGGGCTTTTGCCTGGAGCTCGAGCTCTACATGGTGACATACAGCAAGCGCAACGTGAGGTGAGGTGTTCTATGAAAATTTATGATTTTCTTATTTGGAATTTCAATCGTGCACATTTTGTAAGGGTGATCCTGTATTATAACTCTTGCATCCTTTTGACAGATATATTTGCTTTTTGTCATTTTTTCAGCTGACAACCTTTTTCTTTCGATCTGCTGAAATGGATCCTCCCACTTGCAGGTCACATTGTCTGGCTTTAGGTCTGGGAAATTCATGACATTAGTGGCCACAAATGTGGCAGCTCGGGGTTTAGATATTAATGACGTTCAGTTAATTATTCAGGTTCTTCTAATGCATTTACTTAATTACTTATATTACATTGAATCATTATTACAACTTTCCTAATCTTTATGGTGATATTTATATTGGGTTTAGTGTGAACCTCCGCGTGATGTAGAAGCCTATATTCATCGTTCTGGCCTCACAGGACGAGCAGGTATAAATGGAGTATTGATATTTGTTCAAAAAGGGAATGTTTAGGATAATCAAACTTTGATAATCCTGAGGTTGAATTTTTCAGCCAATACTGGGGTTGCTGTTATGCTTTATGATCCAAGAAGGTCAAATATATCTAAAATTGAAAGAGAATCAGGTGTGAAATTTGAACACATATCTGCTCCTCAGCCTGCTGATATTGCAAAAGCTGTTGGTGGGGATGCTGTTGAAATGATAAACCAAGTATCCGACAGGTATTTTTTTTTCTTATATGCAAAATTGCAAATGGTATTTTATGCTGCCATTCTTGTTAACAAATGTGATATGCAGCGTGATTCCTGCATTCAAAGCTGCTGCTGAGGAGCTTGTGAACAACTCTGGTTTAACAGCCGTTGAATTACTTGCAAAAGCTCTTGCCAAGGCTGTTGTGAGCCCCCTATTCTTATAACATTTTCTCAATCTATCTTTTTGTTGCAATTGCAATTTGTTTTTTGTTTTTTGCAAACTCTTCATCTTTAATATCCTTCTCTGAGCTGGAAAAAATTGATTGTATAATGTGCAGGGTTATACTGAGATAAAGAAAAGATCACTTCTTACTTCCATGGAGAATTATGTCACGTTACTTCTTGAGATTGGAAGACCCATCTTCACCCCATCGTGAGAACCTTAGAATGGACCTTGTTCTTTAATTATTATGATGCTTGCATGTTACTCTAAGTCAGTTACTGATTACCGAAGAATACTTTCTATGTTATTTGAAAGGTCTAGATGTTTGCCTTGCTGTGGGAAAATCTGTTATCTGCTCCTTAACCTTTAATTTTAAGTGATTTTGCAATATGTGGTGAAATATGTTGGGAAAATGCAATGCAGTTCACATCCTATTTGTGACTACTTGTCTTTGTCCTGCTATAATATGTGCTGTAATAAAATATTTCTAGCCTGGTCTTCATAATTTGCAAAGCCTTAATCATTCCCTTTTGCCGATAGAAAACTATATCTGAAAGTGCTTTAGGTGTTTTAAATTTTTGTGACAAGGCATCTGACTATTTTAGCTTCATTAATGGGCTGGTGCATTTTGATGTTGAAATTTGTAGTTGCTGGTTATTTTGGGGTTGGCAGCAAGTTAATTCCTTGAGATTTTAATCTCTGAAGCCATTTGTTATGACAAATGCTGCTCTTTATTTCACCATCAATTAGAGTGAGTTCTATATGCATTTGCAGTTTTGCATGAAATTTGAAATGAACCACAACTATTCATGGTTTTTAAATACATCCCATAACTTTAATTAATATATTGATCTATGTTGTTCTTGTATGTTAAACATACAATGATTGGAATAGACTGATGATCTTCACAATTTAATTCTTTGGTCTAGGCTAATTTTTTCTGGAGTTATCATGATAGGTAATAACTATATTCAAGTATTGTGAGTTTCTTTAACTGATCTTTTCATGGTTTTTTTAACCAGTTTTGCATATGGAATCCTCAGGAGATTTCTTCCCGAGGAGAAAGTTGAGGCAGTGAAGGGCCTTACTCTGACTGCAGATGGAAATGGCTCTGTTTTTGATGTGCCAGCTGAAGATTTAGATACATATCTTGCTGGTAAATTATACTTTGGACTATGCATGCGAATTAGCTTTGTCGTAAGTGATTCAGTCCTACATCTTGGTGGTTATCTTTCTTATTAAGCAATGTTTATCCTTTAGGTCAGGAAAATGCTGCTAATATAAGCTTAGAAGTATTACAAGAATTGCCACGTTTGCAAGAAAGAGACCAATCAAGAGGGGGTAGATTTGGTGGCGGTGGTCGTGGTGGGTTTGGTAATAATAGAAGTAGTGGCGGTGGAAACAGGTTTTCTGGTGGAAGAGGAGGCGGCAGGAACGGTGGTTTCTCAAATCAGAGGAGTGATCAGTTTTTCGGCGGTTCTAATGGCGGGAGAGGCCGTGGTGGCAATAGAGGGGGAAACAGATGGTAGGGAAAATAAGAAACTGAGTTTATCAAGGCAGAGGACTAAAATCCTTATAGCAGTCAAACCCACACCACACCCCCCCCCCAAAAAAAAATATCGGAAAAGAAAAATATTCATTTTGGTGCTCTTAACTCCTAGGATACCATTTTTGTTCACTATTCTTTGGAAAGATAGCGTGAGATTAGATTGTGTATGTAGGACTGAGCAAGGTAAAATAACAGGAAATATATAGATTCTGGCAAATGATTATCCCACGACTTCTTTACACCTTTTGATAATTGTTAATGACATTACTTTGATTGAAATGTCAAGCCAAAAGAAAAGAAAGAAAGAAAGAAAGAAAGTTGTAGCCAACTGAAATTTGAAGTAGTTATTTATCATGGGTAAGATTTCGGTATTAGCCTTATATACTTTATTTGATCCAATGAAATAAAAATAAGTGAATTTTAATTTGTTAATAATATTAATATGAAGAGTTTGTTATAGAATAAATAATTTATAAAAGATTCATGTGTATTTATTTAATTGGAAACTAGTATTTTAGGTATTTAAAGTTAAATATACAAGTTTTTTTCATTTATTAACACATGTTAAGTTATGCTTATTTCATGTCATTTGTTAGTTCAGTTGCAATTACCCCCTTATTGTATGCCAATCATGGCTAATGCTTGAAATGTCTCGCTGTAAAAGTAATATGACGGAAAAAAATTGTGCGACCATGAAAATAATTATTATGGAAAAAATTATATTCATGAACTAAGAAATTTAAAGGGAGAATCTTAATAAAAGATCTTTAAAAAAATTTAATATCTTATAAAAATATTGGATAAATAAATTGAATGCTTGTTAAAATAATAATTTATTAGTTTGTTAATTTTTTACTCATTCAACATCATTTTAAGAAATTAAGAGCCTGTTTTTTTTTTAAAATTATTTTTTTTAAAATAGAAAAATTTAAAAACTCGTTTGGTTAAGTCTTATTTATTTATTTATTTGCAAAACTGTTTTCAATTTTTTATTTTTAAAAATAAAAAAATAAAAACAATTTTGAGTTGTTTTTGTTTTTATTTTTTTATTTTTAAAATATACATTTGATTATTAAAAATTATAATTATGTTTATCAATTTTTTTTCATAAATTACCATCATTAACCACCTATAATTATCACTGTTAATTTATTTTTTAATTCTAAAACTCTTTTTAAGTGAATATAACCAAATGAATTTTCATTTTATTTTGTTTTGAAAAACAATTATGAAGACTATATTACAAAACAGTTTTTAAAAACAAAAAATAAGAACAGAAAGCAAACAAGCGTTAAATTTTTTCTTGAGTTTTTAAACTTGAAAATTTAAGTACAACTCTCATTTAGCATAGTTAAAACAATTACTTCGTTTATTTATTTGTTAATTTTTACTTAAATATCTTCCTAGATCTTTTATTTATGTTCTCCCAAATTTAAGCCTGAAAGCCCAAGTACAACTTTCCTATAGTATAATTTCCATATGTTTATGTTCAATTTATCTTAATTTATCTCTTTATAGTCGAGTAACATGAATCACAATATTTTTCATCTTTGTTTTATTTATTTAGAGGGACATACATACACTAACAATATGAAATTATTCTACCAAAAAAAAAATATGAAATTAAAAGGGAGATTGAATCCTCAGGACCTCAACGTCCAATTTACAAGGAAACTTGTATACATAGGCAGTAAAATTGGTGGCAAATGGCAAGATCTGACTTTCCATGGCATTGTATTAAAAAAAAAAAAAAAAAAACCTTCCAGTGGTTTTGACCTTATTGTGGCTAGGCTGGTTCTTAACATAGCTTTCGGCTTGTATTTATATACGCCAGGCCCTGTCCTTAAACAAGCAAAGTGGAGTTGTACTTGTTGGCCTTAGTGTCAGTTATCTATTTAGATTTTAGATTATGGTTACCCGCTTAGAGTTCAAAACTTTTGAACCCAGAAGTCTCAAGAACTCACTCTCAAAATTAATTGAAGAATGCAAGAATTTCAGAGAGCTCAAACAAATCCATACCCAGATTCTTACGTCCCAGTTGTTACCTAACAATGACCAATATTATCTTATTACTCGTTTCCTCTTCTTTTGTGCTTTTTCGAGTTGGGGCTCATTCACCTATGCTTCTAATGTTTTTCGGACGATAAACAACCCGGAAATTCGTGCTTACAATATCCTGCTTAGATCATACGCAGCTTTGAAGGATGATGGTGAAGATAGCCACATTTGCAGGGCTTTAGTGCTTTATAGAGAAATGCTTCGCAATGGCATTTTACCAAATAACCTCACTTTCCCCTTCCTGTTGAAGGATTGCACTAGTAGGCTGGATGAAGCTACTGGCTCAGGAATTCATGCCCAAGTCGTCAAGTTTGGATTTTATGATGATATTTTTGTTGGGAATTCGTTGATAAACTTATATATGGCATGCAGGTTGTTGAGTAATGCCAGGAAGCTGTTTGATGAAATGCTGGTGAGAGATACTGTCACTTGGAACTCAGTAATTATTGGGTTTTTGAGAAATGGAGAGCTTGACAACGCAATGGATTTGTTCACACGGATGAGTGAGAAGAATATCATAACTTGGAACTCCATTATTACAGGGTTGGTCCAAGGTGGCCGACCAAGAGAGTCACTGCAACTTTTCCATCAAATGCAGGTTTCCAGCGAAGATAACATGGTTGAGCCTGATAAAATTACAATTGCTAGTGTCCTCTCAGCCTGTGCTCAACTTGGTTCGATAGATCATGGGAAATGGGTGCATAGTTATCTGAGAAGAAGTGGGCTAGAGTGTGATGTGGTAATCGGAACAGCACTTGTAAGTATGTATGGTAAGTGTGGGCATGCAGATCAAGCAATTGAGATCTTCAAACAAATGCCTGAGAAGGATGCTTCAGCGTGGACAGCAATGATTTCCGTGCTTGCTCTTCACGGATTAGGCGAGAAGGCTTTTGATTGCTTTCTAGAGATGGAAAAAGCTGGAGTGAAGCCTAACCATGTATCATTCGTGGGATTATTGTCTGCTTGTGCTCATTCTGGTTTGGTAGAGAAAGGTCGGTGGTGCTTTGACATGATGAAAAATGTTTACTCAATTGAACCCCACGTTTATCACTATGCTTGCATGGTTGACATTCTTAGCCGAGCCAAGCTCTTTGAGGAGGCGGAAAGTCTCATAAGGGACATGCCAATGAAGCCTGATGTTTATGTCTGGGGTTCATTACTTGGAGGATGTCAGATGCATGGGAATACAAAACTAGGAGAAAAGGTAGCTTTTCATTTGATTCATTTAGAGCCTCGCAATCATGCTTTCTATATGAACTTGTGTGACATATATGCCAAAGCTGGCCGGTTTGATGCTGCTAAAAGAGTTAGAAATCTAATGAAAGAAAGAGGAATCCAAAAGGATATCCCAGGTTGTAGCATGATTGAAATTTGTGGGGTGGTTCATGAATTTTCTGCAGGAGTTTCACTGAATCTTCCAATGGAAATTTTTTTGGTCTTAAACCAGTTAAATAATCAGATAAAGTTGCCAGGATGATAAAAATCAGTACAAGCATCTCTTCAATTAGAATATGGAGGCATTTGCGCAGTACGCTGTATTATAGTTCAACAATCAATCGTGGTGGTATGTGCTCTGCAGTTGGTTAACCCCTGACGCCATGAATAACGATTTTAATTGCTGCTTATGTTCTCCTCCCTAGGTTGTATCCTATGAATAACTACACATGCATTCAAATCGCCACTGCAAAGAAGGAAATCATCAATTTGGTGGCGGTTCATGCAACCTTCACTACATGGAAGCAATTTTTAATCATTTTCGGTGGTCTTTGGTATTACTACAGTGGTTGCTGCCTATGTTTTAGCAACAGGGGCTACCACAAGAAATTTCTTTTCTCGTGGTTAAAACCATCGTTAGAGCAAAATTTAACCATTATATTGTCAAAGCCTGCGCTTTTTCCCCCCCTTGGAGTGATTGGGATGATCACTCAATTACCAAAGTGAGGGCAGAAAATTTGACGAGGATAAAGCACATTACACATGCACTGCACTAGTAGGTAAAGATGTTAGATGATGAGGGATGACATTTTTGTGCAGAAATGTCTGCATGATTCGGTGTTCTTGTGATGGAGAAGACGAATTAGATCCTCTGCATTCGCATGTTCAAGAGAGATCATAGCACAAATAGCACGTAACTATGTGCGACATGTATTCACGTTTTTGAATGAACAAAGATTTACATTGCGTTGAAGAGGTATAATCTCTCTTTACCTGATTATGCAACAGTTTCTGTATGAGAATTGATTTTGCATCAGCAAGAAACAGATGCAATAACGTGATCCACATATTAGGAAATGTCCTTTCTTTATGAAACCGTTGGCTTTGGAATTATCAGGTTCAGTTTGGCACCATTCAAGTGCAAAACTCAGATCTTGGGTATGGGTGGATGTGAGAGAGAGAGAGAGAGAGATTTTATTTAGTTTTGCATATCCTAGAGTTACGAATAGATTTCTTGGTGTTAGATTCATGGATGCTTATTTTTTAACGGGAGTTACACTTTGAGACCAGAGCATGAATTTAATTTTAATTTCGGATAAAAAAGTTTCTAAAATTTTATTGAAGGATTAAAACATTAAATAATTTTGACGTTAATATGCTAAACTTTAATCTTTAAGATTTTAAAATTTGACATGGATAATACAAAATTGTGATATTGTTCGATTTTAAAATATTGATATCATTCTTGAGATACTCATGAGGTTACCATCATATTAATGATCTTATATAGTAAGGCTTCAAATTAGTTTAGACAAAAGGTGGTAATACCTCCAAATTTCTAAGAATATCAGGTGATAGAATAAAAAAATATTGAAATCAAATTTTAGAATATGAATATTGAATTATTTAATTTTTTTTTTTGAAAATAATAATACCAAATTTTAGCAAAAGCCTTTGAGAATATCAATAAAGGACTCTCGAAGAAGATTTAAGATTGGGTTAATGTTTATTTTTTCTCCTAAACTATACTCTCAAGGACACTCAATATCTTAAACTCAATTTTGATCCATTCATCTCTTTAAATGTTTAAAACTTGATCATTTTTGCCTCTGTTGTTAATTCACAATTAAGTTTGACCATTAAATATATTTGTTGACTAAAACTGCACACTTGGCAGTACATATATACTCAAAATTTTCACCTTACTTAAACAGGTCAGATTTTTTGCTTTTCAAAAAAATGATTAAGGGGCATCTCAAAAGTTTTTATAAAAGAGCACCTAATATTCTTATTTTTTAGATGGAATAATATTGCATTGAAAGTATTAAAAGTAGAGCAATGTTGCCCTTTTCTAATCTTTAATCAATGTTTGACTAATAGTTGACCAAAAGATGAATGAAAAGTCTAATGTGGCAAGCTACGTGTATCTCAAAAAAAGAAAAAAATTATTCAAAAAAACCTCACTAAAAAATTATTTGCCAAGAAGGACTTGGGTTAGAAAATGAAATTGGTCTCTGGCATTAATTTCACACGACTAAATTACCTTATCTCCCTTAATGAAAGGAAAGCAAAAATCGAATGAAAGCTCCAGCTCTCTTCACACGTGATTATCTCTCACCCAATGTTTGATTCAATCTGAGGAAGTTGCCACTGTGTTTGACCACCAAATTTGTGACTTTATTAGGTTAGTTCATTGAGTATTTGATGATGAGGGTGAGGTGGTGTTTGATTTTCAATTTTTGTCTTGTGATTGTGGAGTTTGGTTGTCTAAGTTTTAAATTACTGTGAAAAGAGCTCAAAAGAGGTTGAACCAAATATTTGCTATGCCACTTGCTCCTCCTATATGCATATTGCCTCACACTGCAGAGTTAGTGACGCTTAATCTAGAATTTGTTGTAATCATCTTACAATTTTTTGATAACGATAGCCTTTTCCTACCATATCAAAAATTGCAGATGTATATAATATCCTTATGAGTAAGGAACTAAAAGAAATATTTTGTTTCTTTCATATGGATGGAAAGATTGCTATTGATGATGAGAGGGTGAAATATGTTGGTGGAAGAGCAAATGGAGGGATAGTAAATAGGTTACATTAATTTATGAGTTGAGAAGAAAAATATGTTTATGTTTTGGGTATGAAGTTAAAAATTTGGAATTAAAGTACACACTGTTAGAATTAGATGAAACCACTGTTATAGACTTTAATGATGATGAAGGAGTTTAACAATTGGTTATGTTTTCCATGAAGAACTCTTGTTGGTGTTTGTTTATCATAGTGATAACTCTTGGTTCTCCAAAATTTGAGTCCATCATGAACTTTGCTCTGTAATTAACTCTCCTTGCTTTCACATTCAATTTCTTTAACCATTCTTTTAGCACGTCTTCATTACTCTTCTTTGGGGCCTTCACTTGTGCACAGTCAAACACAATAGTTAGGCGTGATGACAAGAATTCAACCAATGATCAAAGTTCAGAAATCCAAAATATGATCATGGTTGAAACTTTATTTGCTATCATTTTCTGATAAACCCAAAAAAAAGGAAATCGATCAAAATAGGAAAATCTCTCAAAAGGTATCAATTTTCAAGGAATTGCTACCATTTTTGACATGCCCAGAGAACAAGAGTTTTAAATCGCACAATGATTTACATAAGGTAACAACAAGCATTGTTGGGGGGGAAGAAAAAAAAAAAAGAAACCAAAGAACAAGAAGGTGATGATGAAGACCAAGAAAAGGATTTGACCAAATCTTCATTAGGCTAGATTTGTCCACAAGAACACTTCCTTCTTCATCACTCTTGTGCTGAGAATTCATAGAGACATTACTTTCAAAAGAAGAAGAAATAAGAAATAAGAAGCAATCACCTAAAAGCCAAGATTGAGGATAAAGGATGAGAGTGAGATCTAACGACACCTTGGCACCATTACAGAGGCGAGATCAAGATAAGGACTGTGGCAAGAATTAGAGACGCTTGAAGCCTGGAGTGGCTGAGTGAGATTGAGAGGTGACAAGTGAGATCGACGAAAATACAAGATCAACTTACTGAGAGGAATTCACGTGTGTGACTTGTCATTTGAGATTGAAAGGAGTGAGGAAAGGGAGATGAGAGCACCGTGAGGGAGGGAGATTAGAAGTGGAGTGCCACCTGTCAAAGCCATGTATTGTGTCATCATACTCAATTAGTCAACATTAGTAAAACATTGGAGAAGACATTACTCTACTTTTAATATTTCTAAGGCAAAATTGCTACTTCTAAAATGTAAGGTATTGGGTGCTCTTTTGTCCCTTAACAAAAAAAATTACTCTCATTTCTCTTATCACCATGATCAACCCATCACCTACTGAAAAAATTATCCAGAGCAAGAAAAACAAAAGAAAAACCAAATCCTAGAACAACAAATCAAATCGCTGAGATTCTTCTTTCCCTCTTACCCCATTGTGCAAAAATCCTACCAAGTTGTTTGTCGCTAACTTGCGATCTTGCTTATTTGTGTTGTTCGTGTCTCAAATCTCAATAAGTCTTTGAGATCCCTCCCCCTACTTTAAATCTTATTCCTTTTAGGTTCTTTAATCTCGTTTAGATCTTTTTTTTAACATCACTTCAATTCCCAGCCATCAAAGTTCGATCTGAAGCTCTATCATCTAGATCACATTTCACTCCAGTCAACAGCCTTATCTCTGGAATCCATACCCTTCCTGCCTCTTCAACTTCTCTCGTCCAATATCCTCAACCTTACCACTTCCTCTCGTCACATTTGCAAAATCAAAAACCAGCTCCTGCAATACCATTTTCTCCTTGTCGCAGGCACATGTTTGTGAAGTGGACAGATTCTGAGATTGAGACTCTGTTTTAGGGGAAGGATTATTTGCAACCGTTACTTCAAGTTCAGTCAAGAAAAATAACCCAAAAGAAAAAATTAAAGAAGAGGCTATCGTTTCTTTTGATGCCACCATGCTAAAAGATACCATCAGCAAAATAAAGAAAATTTGGATTATTGAGCCTTGGACCGTCAAGGATGAACCAGGAAAGTATGAGGTGATGGGGTGAAACTTTTTTAGTCAGATGATATAAGTTCACAGTCAACGTTAAGATCAATTAACAATAAAGGGTAAATTGAACTAATTTTTTGAATTTTGAAAAAAAGAATGGACCAAAGTTGAATTTAGGACTCTGGGTGTCCTAAGAAAATAATTTAGGGATAAAGCATTACTTTTTTTAATATTTGACAAGAATTTCTAACAAGTAAACATTAACAAATCAAATCAAAAGAGGAAGTTATTGTTTTAATAAGTATTCAATTAATCTAAAATCCTTATCATATATTAAATTCTTTCATAGATACTTCATTGATATTTTGCCAAAATCCTTTAGTATCAAATTTTAGAATATTAGTGTCAAATTGTGAAATATTAGTATCAAATTACTTAAAGGCATTTGACCCTCAACTAAAATGTTAGAATCTTTCATATTGAATTAAATTTTTGGGTGAATCTCATTGAAGGCTCCTAATACACAAAAATTTTCATGTAGGGCCCAATAAAATTTGAAAATGCATTGCAAGCTCGACGGTCTATCTTGCAAATTTTGTTGTGGACGAAAAGATGCAGTTGCTCTTATCTCAACAAAATATCTATATATGCACAATATAATATTCACAAATTCTCAATACAATATTCATAAATGCACAATACATCTAGTGAATATGGTTTAACTTGAAGTGAAAATGTACCAGCAAACAACGGATGAATAATATAATATCTATAAATGCACAACACGATATTTATAAATTCTCAAAGAAGTGAACATATGTAAACTTACAGCATTTGTACAATATAAAGTCTATAATAAATAATATATTTTCATTGAAACAACATACTTTAAGTTAATGCCCACCGAATATATTGTGCATTCATAAATATTTCGAGAATATCATGTTGTGCACACATGGACATTCTATTGAGATAAGGACAAATGTGCCTTTTCATCAACAACAAAATTTGCAAGAAGGGTCATTGAACTTGCAAAGCATTTTTGAATTTTATTGAGCCCTAAATACAATTTTTTTTGTTTTGAGGACTCTAGATGAAATTTTCCCTAAATTTTTGTATGTCTCAAATTGTAACTCCTACATTTTTATCATATTATGATGGTTGAATCATTGGTGGTATACATGTGTTTTAATGTTTTTGAAACTTTATAATAATTTTCTTGCCTAAACTTTTTTTTTAAACCATGCACAAATAACCTCTCAAGTCTTAACCTTTAAAATTTAGTAATGAACTTCTTAAATTTTCAAGTCCTCCCAACTATCAATTATATACTCTCATAAACTTTATTTTTGTGTGTATATAGCTCTTTAAATTTTGACTTTAATGTCAATGTAGATAAATTATGAATAAAACTAATAATAAAAGAGTTATTTAGATAAATGTGAGAATTAAGAAGTTCTAAAAATTAGGAAGATTATGTATATATAACATAAACTTGTAATATATAAATCAGTAAGACTCTAAATAAGAATTTATTTAAGTCTAGTTGACATTTTCTCTTGAAAAGACAGCCCATAGGTGTACATAAAAAAAAAAAAAAAAGTGGTGTATCTAGGAAAAGACCACCCATGGGCCAGTTCAACCTGACTTAGTCAAACAATATTCAGCCAGCTTGAACACCGGATACCTCAATGACTTAATTAATTTAAAGTAAAATTTTCTAAATATCAAGATCATGACTTTTAGTCAGGAGTAAAAAATAATGACTTTAGGGCTATATAGTGCTAGATGCTAAATTCTTTATTTTTCGATCTAGATGCTGATCAATTTAATCATTGTGTATGTAATCAATCAAAATTATTCTTTCAGGTGCCCAAAAAAATTGCGATGGTTTTTTTTTTTGACACAGTTATATAATTATGTTGGATTTGAGCATTCTCGGCTTAGCAAGTCTAAGTGGGATAAACTCTCCTGAAAATATTTTCTGCATTTACACAAATTTAAATTTGAGATATCTTGTTGAAATAGTTATAGCCCCTTTTGTTAGAGATAAAATGTCCCACATATAGTAATCAAAAGCTGGATTAAAAATATATAAAATTTAGAGTGTGTTTAAACAAATAGCTAGCTATTTTTGTAAAGTATATTGCTCTCAAATATACTTAATATAAAGAGTTTAGTATAGTATCAAAGCCATTTGATCGGAGACAAAAAGAAAAAAGAGAGAGAAAAAAAAGAATGAGTTAAAAATGAAAAAAAAATAAGAGATTAAAAAAAAAGAAAAGAGAAGAATAAAAGTAGTAGAAGGAATATTATAGATAAAAAATTCCACATCTAGTAATTAAAAAATTGAGAGAAAAGAAAACTAGTAAAGAGAATATTAGAGATAAAGAGTTCCACATCTAATAATTAAAAAATAGATTAAAAATATATAAAGTTTAAGATATATCTAGCCAACTAGTTAACTATTTTGATAAAGTAGACTATCCTAAAAAATATTTAATATAAAATGTTTGACACCTTCCCCTATGACTAACATTTATCGGTAATTATAATAACTAATAAAGTTCCCTTATAATAATATTTTTAAATAAATGTTAATATTGCATGAAAATCTTTCCCACAGCAATAACTTATAATACTCTACATCGTTTTATACGTAGTATCTATACAATAATAGAATGTCCAAACTCAAGGTTTGGAAAACGTTGAGGTTTGCCGAATTAAAGCAATTGGTTGTGCACTTGTGATGGTTCCACGTGATTGATTGTACCCGCAATGCCTATATTTTAAAAACCGAACCAGATAATTAGCCAGAAAAATTAATGGATCACTGATCTCACGATTCAACCGATTAAACTGATAGTTAAATCAATGATATAATAATTAAATAAAAAAATAATATTTATATACATATATATAATATATATATATATATATATACATATATAAAAGTGGGTAAAAATAGTTCAACTGCTCTAAATCTTGGCTTTTTGCTCCGGGTCTTGAAGAATCGCTTAAGTCAAAGTGGGCCACCCTGAATCAACTGTTAGAACAGGTCAAATGATTAAATTAAATCGTTTTCTTCTTTCAGAGATAGTTTGATAGATTTGATCATCAGAATCAGTTTGGGTCTTAAAAAAGTGCTCTTAAGGTTTGCTGAATTAAAGCAATCAGTTGTGAACTTGTGATGGTCCCACGTGATTTATTGTTCTTTGAAATGTTGATATAATTTTAGTCAACTCTCCAAAATTTTAAAGTTTCATCCTATATTTAGAGAATTAAAATGAAATTAAAGAGATGACCCAAATAATTTTAATGTTCTTTATGAAACTTAGCAAATAAACAACTCATGTAAAGAAAATAAACAACAGATATATGAAAATAAACAACTCTCGTTAATGGCGTAATACCACTATGAATGTCCCACTAACTTTGTGGCAATGTTTAAATCAACTAGTAAGGATTGTTCCCGCTTAACTTTGTGGCAATGTTAGAACTGTATGGGAGAGCCCCCACTTGAAAGGGTCCGTCAATGTTCTCTTGTGTGTCATTGCTGGGGTTAGATTCCCACGTGTTGGTTGTTATGTGTCTAACCAACCTGGTATTCAATTTCAGAGAAAATGTTTCTTCTCAATTTCACATGGGGCCACAATGTGGTCCCACCGTGTTGGTTGCCAGACAATGAGATAGCTTAATATACAGCATCTTTATTTGTGCTTTGTTATAGCCTCATTTCTCTAATGGATCTTCTCTTTGTTCTGAGCTCTCTGGTTTTGTTTGCACTGGTGAGTCTAAGTTTCGCTGCAATTGTAATCAAAATCCACGGCAGAAGATTGTCTAACAAGAAAAGAAGATACCACCCAGTTGCTGGGACTGTATTGGACCATCTTTTCAACTATCACAAGCTGCTGGATTTCATCACTGAGCGCACAAGACAGAGGAAAACTTACAGGATGCTTAGCTTCTTGAGAGCTGAGGTCTACACTGCAGATCCAGTAAATATTGAGCACTTTCTTGCGGGAAACTTCACAAACTACGGCAAGGTATTTCTTCAAGCTTGAAATTCTGTGGTCAAAACTCAAGGTTGGCTTATCAATACATGTTTGTAGATACGCTAACTTGGTGATGCTAGCCTGTGATACAAGTGAGAGGGCGTGTTCAATCTTAGTTGTCAACGACAACAATTTTTTTTTTTTTTTTTTTGTCTTTGATAAAAAGTAAGCCAACAAAAGAAGGAACTAGAGGTTGGGTTGGGTATTTTGAAAGATTCAACAACCCAAATAAAACTGATTTCCAAATTTTTCTTTGGACATACATACAATCAGGTTACGTTGTTTGAGCTACCAAGTGGGTACAGGTGCGTGTATATATATATATATATATGCATGGATATGAAACTATGATATTATAAAGTATTCATGTATTTAAAATTCTTTTTGTGGATAATTCAAATAAAGAAGAGAGACAAACTGAAATTCAAAATAAAAACAAATGATTGGGAGTGACAAACTTATCTTTATTCTTGAATCAGCAAAAGACAAGAACAAAATATTAGAGAAAGACAATAGTGACAAAAGCACTAACAATAAAAATATAAAGAGAACTTGAGAATTAGAGTGACTAAAATTTTAAATAACTAAAATATGATACATAGTGAATTTGAAATAAGAAATGTAATGTAATCCATAGATTTTTTATATATTCAAATGGGGTATTTGGTTTAAATCCAAATCCTATTATAAACACAATACTTTGTTTTAGATGTTTTCTATTTAAATTATTCAATTCAAACATGATGATGTGGATATCATTTTATAGCTCAATATTACTTAATTTCACTGGACAACCTAATAGCAAATACTTAAATAACTTAATAGCATCTAATCAATCTTACGGTATCTCAATTGAGATATAATAGTAAGATAGAAGAATGTCATCAAAATGAAGATCTATAAATAAAAGAGAATAAAGGTTTCCACGTGTTATTCCAGGGTTGGTATCACCATAGTGTTTTGAGCGATCTTCTGGGTGATGGTATATTCACAGTGGATGGAGTGAAGTGGAAACATCAGAGAAAGGCAGCAAGTTATCAATTCTCCACCAGATTATTGAAAGACTTCAGCAGTTCAGTGTTCAGATCCAATGCAGTAAAGCTTGCAGGGATGGTCTCTGAAGCTGCAATTTCCAACAATGCTATTGAGCTGCAAGTAAGAAATTATTTTGTGGAATAGAGGAACACCTTTGTATCATCATTTCTTTGAGGCTTCAAGTCTCACCTTGTTGGTCAATGGCATGCAGGATTTGTTCATGAAGTCAGCGTTAGATTCAGTGTTTAAGGTTGTGCTTGGTGTAGAACTGGACACCATGTATGGAACCTATGAAGAAGGTACTCGGTTCTCCAATGCTTTTGATGAAGCAAGTGCAATTACCTCGTATAGATATGTTGACGTTTTCTGGAAGATCAAGCGACTCCTGAACATTGGATCAGAAGCAGTACTTAGAAACAACGTAAGAGTGGTAGACCAGTTTGTGTATAAAGTAATCAGAACCAAGATTCAGCAAGTCCAAAAGCAACAAGATGATGATTCTCCTGTGAGTATAACTTTTCCTTTAACCAAACTGTAGGCTGCATAACCAACTAAAGTTAGCATGAGGCTCTCGTCACTTAAACAAGTAGTTCAAGGTTTGAATCTTTGCTTTTATGTATAAATCAATTTAGTTAGCGGAAATATACTTATTGCTTTCAGTACCTCAGGGAAAATTACCAAAAAAAAAAAAATGCTGGCTGCATTGTTTCTTTCTGTCGTGCATATCACTAGTGAAAAGTTTCGAAATTGTCATTTGATTATGACATGCGCACGCTTATATTTGTCTATATGTGGCAAGCATTCTTATGGTGTTTACAATTCCTAGTACCTAAACCTGTCCTAAAAGTTTATGCAAAGTGAAGAATTAATTTGATGACAGACAATATGTTTAACAGGTGGTGAATGGCGATATCTTGTCAAGATTTATAGAATTGAAAGAGACAAATCCAACATATCTTAAAGACATCATCCTGAGTTTCATCATCGCTGGGAAAGACACAACAGGAAGCACTCTTTCCTGGTTTGTTTACCTGCTCTGCAAGCATCCCCATATACAGGAAAAAATTGCACAAGAAATCTGGGAGGCAACAAAAGTACAAGGTGGCATAACCTCTGAAGAACTTGCAGCAAGAGTGACTGAAGATGCCCTTGAGAAAATGCAGTATCTGCATGCAGCTTTAACTGAGACACTAAGGCTTTACCCAGCAATTCCGCTGGTAATGAAGATACGTTAACGTATTCACTCAAAAAAAAAAAAAAAAAAAAAAGATACGTTAACATAAGTTAAAATCCAGGCATCACCTTTGTAATGAGTTACTACTTTATCAGCGAAAACTTATCTCATTCTCTCCCTCCTTCCTTCCCTCTCAAACTGCATGGTATACGGCCAGTAACTGTGTGGTGATTCAGATTTCAGCATATGAATTTTTTTACTTGTAATTGGAAAAATTGAAGTATGCTTGCATATATGATTTGAGTGTCTGACATTGTTTTATAGAAATGTTTGTGTTTCATAACTGTTTAATGAGGTTCTTGTTGCTATTACAGGAAGGCAAGTTCTGTTTCTCAGATGACGTATTGCCAGATGGATTTAATGTGAGGAAAGGTGATCTGATGGTGTTCTGCCCATATGCCATGGGAAGGATGAAGTACTTATGGGGTGATGATGCTGAGTCGTTTAAGCCAGAGAGATGGTTTGATCATAATGGAATTTTCCAGCATGAGAGCTCTTTCAAGCTCACTGCCTTCCAGGTAAGTATTTATGAAATTAGAACTTGTGCGTCTGTCAGATAAGAGATTGAGACATAGTTGGTGTTGATGTGATGAACAGGCGGGTCCAAGAATTTGCCTGGGCAAGGAGTTTGCATACAGACAGATGAAGATATTTGCTGCAGTTCTGTTGGGCTGCTTCAAACTAAGACTGGCAGATCAAAAGCAATCAGCAAAACACAGGTCAATGCTTACTTTACAAATTGATGGTGGTCTTCATGTTCTTGCTTCTCACAGATTGAGGCTCTGATTCTCTAGTCTCTTGAGATATCCCAAAGGCTGATGTATTGCTATCTGCTGTTTAAAAACAGCTACTATACATGAAGCATATTGGTATTTAAATAAATTGCACATAAACCTTTCTTAAAAGTCCATCATATGCTTTGTGTTGATACTAAAGGGTTCCACATTGACATCCTCAAATGTAATCCCATTTAATTTGATAAAAATCTAGATATGCATTATGCACTATATCTTTATTGTCACAATTCTAATAATTATTTTGGAAAAATCATTTTAAGATCCCACACAAGGAATCTAAATATAGAAAAATCTTGTGAAATTTCAAGATTACTTTAAAATCTCGTGTTCTTAACTAAAGTTGTTGCATTCTTCTAATTTGAAAGTTAATAACTTAAAAATATTACGCTAATCAAAACTCTAGGATGTCAATTACTTCTTCAAACAAACTTCCAAAGCAAAATTACTCTTTGATCCTTGTTAAAATTTTCAACTAATAATTAACATTGGTCAAACATTACTATAAAGTGACATTGCACTATTTTTTTAACTTATAGGATTATATTATGTTAATCAAAAGTTAAAAATATTAATTACACCTGGAAAAAAATTTCAAGAAAAAATTATCCTTTAACACTTATATAAAAAATAAAATTGTATCCTAATTGATGTATATTTAACATTTGGAGTCGAATATTTTCAGTGGATCAAGAATAGCACCGTAAAAAAATCAAGCAGATAGCTTAAATAAATAGAACCAGATTGTTTTTGTGATGAAATTCGTATATTTGTTTTTCCAGATTATTCGGTTAGCATTTATCCTAGTGAAATGGTGTCTATCTATCACCTTCTTTGAAGCAAAATTAAATAATCACGACCGTTTAAGTGGCATTAATAGCCCCAAAAAAAAAAAAGGCTGATATAGATGTTTAATAATGAATCCACGATGAGATCACCCACAGATTGCTCCCAAAAAAGAAGAAGAAGAAGTCAAACATATCACGCATGCCGCAATACTGATGATTCTTCTCTCAGGTTATTTGGGCCAACTTTTCTCTTAAACAATATCGCAATTAATTAATGGCTACTTGATCGTTTTTATGATGAGCCCTTCAAATCAATTTTGAAAATAAATTATTTTTTCTTGGCTGATGAGACAAAACAAGTTAATATATGAAGTGATGAAAAAGACAACTTGGTTTTTAAATCTTTATTATGTTTGGCAAGGCATAAAGAGTTACTTTGTCAATTATAGAATCTAATTTCTCACAAGCTAGATTCAAACTTTCAACTACTTGTTCAAGATGAAAGTCCCAACACTCACGCTAACCCAAGTTGGCATTTTTCAAACCTTTGTTAATCATGTAAAGACATGTTTATTTCATCCAGTTTCTCTGTTGCTTTATAAAGGGGCTGAGAAATAGATTAGAGACATACTACATTACTTCTTGAATATAATCAATCAATTAATCCTATACTAAACTCACCAAAAACAAAGTAGTAATCACCCTGCAGCATCCTCTAATTAATCTCAATTAATGTTATGACTTATTATTACTTCATCAATCATTTTACCTCTCTATCATTACAAGTAACATAACTGAGTCAAAATGTAAGCAAACGAGACCCGCTTGTTTTATAAATAAGTTAACATGTCTACGGTATACTTCAGAAGCTTCAGATTATTACTTATTATCATTGGCTCTTGAAACCAGCTGTGAACGTAGAGTGCCAGAGAGGATCAAAATGGAGGCCAATGGAAGAAATGAGAGGAATTCCTCTTGACTCAGTGATTCTGATCCTCACAACACGAGCATCCACCACACCACCTTCAAGCCTATGAAGCCTCTTGTAGCCCACTGTGGTCCCTCTGATCATCAATTCACCATCCACATATATCTCATGCTCTCCAATCCTCTGACCAAGTCCAATCGCTTCCTGTACCCTCACCACATTGAATCTCACGCTCCCATTGTTCTTCCCTCTTATCTCAACCCAATACTCTGTTCCTTCTTCAGGAGCCCAGTATGACCACAGATGGTCACTGTCTATCATGTTTTCTGGTCCAAAACCACCTTCTTTTCCTCCTCTTTGACTGCTGACTGTAACCGTGCAGTCTTCTTGCGCTATGTTCTTCTGGAAGACTGTGGCGATTGCACTGTGAAACTGGTTCAACCTCTGAGCATCAATGTCAGATATGAGGCCAGTTGTGTTGGGAGGCACGTTGAGGAGCAACAAGCAGTTTCTGCCAACTGAGTTGTAGTAAATGTCGAGTAGTTCAGTGAGGCTTTTTGGTGATTCTGACTTGTGCCAGAACCATCCTGGTCGAATCGATACATCGCATTCTGCAGGAACCCAGTCTGTTCCTCTGGGATCACCTGTGTTTAGGTACCTACAATGAATATATTATCAACAAGAAATCAGTGATTAATTACAGTCATCACAAATTATAAACGGTGTATCTTTAAATTGTATCTGTTCACGACAACTTCACTTGCACGTCAAGTATAATGAGTTTTCATCAGTTACTTATCTTCAAAGTGAATTTCAAAGGCCATTTTTTTTTTCTCTTTTTTCTAACGAAGCACCCAGTATATCTTGAACCTGCCCCACATGCTGAGAAAGTTTAACAGGATCTAAACTAATCCAAATCAAGTCAAGTCTATAGAAGCTCTAACTAATTCTACTGCATTTTCAAGACTCGAATTCGAAATCTTTAATCAAGTTGGTATATCTCCCTAGCCAAGCTTTCCTAGCAATCTTATTTTAGTTTCACAGGATTTATATGCATAATATGAAAATGAAAAAGATGACCTAAACTTCTTTTTATATATGATGGTGGTGGTAGTGATTGGAGAGAATAATGCTTTGCTTGGAAGATGAGCTTACTTGGTGATGTCTGGATTTCCGATGGAAAGAGAGGTTCGGTTAATGATAGACCAACACGTGTCTGATGCGTAGCCTTGTTCATCTCCCACCCACCTCACATCTGGACCTGCGTCAGAAAATATGTTAATGGAACTCTGCAACTCTTTCGCCATTGAGAACCATTTTACGAAGAAGTACGTCACGTTCTTTGCCTTTGGATCCTTGGCTCCATCAAACCATATCTCCCTCACTTCTCCATATCTGCTAATTATCAAATACCAACAGTTCATGCTATAATATTCGTCGATCAATTCTTTGTAGAAACAGATAGTAAATAATTGAAGGAACTCACTTATTGAGCAGTTCTTGAAGCTGAGCTAAATAGTATTCGTTGTAAGGTTTATCGCGTCCATATCTTGAGTCATGTCTGTCCCAAGGAGAAAGATAAAGCCCTGCATCGATTCCTTTTGTTGAAGTTGCATTCACAAACTCTCTCACAACATCTCCCTTGCCATTTTTCCAAGGGGTTCCGATCACAGAATGCTCTGTGTACTTTGAAGGCCACAGGCAGAACCCGTCATGGTGTTTCGCGGTGAGGATCACCAGGGAAACTCCGGCCTCCGCCGCGACCTCCACCCACTGGCCTGCGTCGAGGCCCGGAGGGTTGAAGATTTTGGGGCTTTCATGGCCGTCTCCCCATTCTCTGTCCGTGAAGGTGTTCACGCCGAAGTGGAGGAACATGATGATCTCTCTTTGTTGCCATTTTAACTGAGAATATGATGGAAGAGGCAGAATCGGCAACGGTGGAGTTGGCACAGCTTGGTCATGCACAGAAGTGGCCGACTTGAAGAGAAGATGAAGAATAGATGTGAGAAGAAAGGAGAAGAACGATAACCTTTCCATGACGCTCTAAATTTTGGTTCTTCTCCATCGTCATCTTCTTTGCACCTCTTTATTAACCAAAAAGAGCCCCCCGGGGGGTTGGGGGGGGGGGGTTTAGAAAATAGGTATGGAGTAGCAGTAATTAAGGAAAATTGTCAGGAAATTCTTGTTTTTATACCTATCGTTTTGCTTAATTTTTTAATTAGACTTTTTGGTGGGTCCTCATAATTAACAAATTTTCTAATGTAATTTACTATTATAATTATAACAATATTTTTGTTAAGTTTTATTTATTTAACTAACTATATACTGCTTTGATATTCTATATACACACACACTACTAAAAAAGATTAAAATATAGATAATAAAATAAAAGTAATCACATACTAGTATTTGACAAAATATTGACAAGAACATAGCACGATAAGAGGCTTACTTATACAATTCAACATCATCAAGATTTAATTGAAATCGAACGAAATGATATGGACAAAATATAAATTTTTTTAAAAGTCTTTTTTTTATACTTTTTAAGCTCATGGGAGAAATTAATCATGACATTTCAAAACTAGATAATGTGAGTGCATTTGCCATAAAATCAAATGAATGTATGATTTTGATACATGAATGGTTTCATGATGAATTTGATCACCATTAAATGGTTTCTACCCTTGTACATCATTCATGTATTAATTTATTATGAGTGAAAAATGACATTTGAGTGTTATTTCAAGATGACACCTTTATTAATGTTTAGGAGTTTTCTTCAAGATGACACTTGAGTGTTTAAGAATGGAAAATGACAAGGAGTGGCCTTTTAAGGCATCTTTAGTCACTCCAAAAGCTCAGATTTTTTCTGTTCAAATTGGGAGATCAAGGGTGGAATGACCCTAAACAAATATTTTAATTATAAAATTATCCTTAATTAAACTCCAACTTTGTTAAAAGAATCCTGCTTATTATTATAAGAATAAAGTAAATTAAAATAATGTTATATAAAATTTTATTTAAATGACTTGAGTATTTTGATTAGATAAATTATAATTGATGTGACATGCTCAATCTACTTAAAAAATTTTCTATATTGATCTAGCCGTAAAGAGAGATAAATAAAAATGAAAGAGGTGGAGGAGGAGGGGAAAAAAACAAAGAGAGCAAAGAATATATCTATATTGTGCTTCAACACCATGTTCAATAAAAGCAAACGTACTTGTTGGAAAAGGAAAATATTTAATCCCATCCGAATATTATATTTTTAAAAGACATGTTATTCTATTATATTTCTATCATAAATCAATTTCGATTATTAAGAATGTTGAGAAGACAAAATGGGATGAGGACAACTTTGTCTTGTATCTCATCTCAAAAAAAAAATAAGATTAAATTTTTATACTATATTCCATCTTATTTAAAATCGGGATGGGACATGATAAAATGGAATGGGATCAAAACATTGCAATAAAATAGGCAAAATATGAAGAAGAGATTTAAATAACAATATTTATTATATTATATAACTTGTTAAGTTTAAAATTAAAATAATATAAATAAACTCAATCATTGAGGTAGAGCAATTATAATTTAAAGTAAAAGAACAAAATTACAAAAATTATAATTTAAAGTCAATTACCCAACAACCACAAATGACCTACAAACTACAAGCACTATAACTATAACATAATCATTAAATTGCATAATTTAAGTGACTAGATGATTATATATAAAATAAATAAACAACAGAAATATACTCTAATTGTAATAGAATAAATAAATATTAAATAATAATAAAATAAAACAGAAAAAAATATAATAATATATTTGGAATGGGATGTCTTGAAAGTGATCTCACGTCCCTTCTAGCCTATCCCGAACATATTTTTACCTCGTTTCATAAAATTCCATCCCTTTTTTTTGGGACTGGGACAAAACCAAACTACCCAATACAAAGACAAGCATGAACACCCCTACTAATTACCTACCTAGAATTAAAAAGAGATGATTCAGGACCTGTTTGGTTCAATTGCCATATCCCTGAAAGCTGTAATGCATTGCAATGCAATGCTTATCCCTATCAACATGTTTGGTAATTTTTTAATTCTATTTATAAAACACCTCTTAAAAATAATAATTGATTCAAAATATAGAATATTGTAAAACAGTTAAAAGAAGATGGAATAAAAAATTATTTTTATATTCTATCAAATAAAACCTCTATTTAAAAAAAGGGAGGGATTCCTCAATCCTATCCACTTGTCCTCCCAAATTCATTCTCATTCCAGATTTATTATCTTCTTCCTCAATATAAAAAAAAAAAAATTCACAAAGTACAGGCAGAAGCACAAGACAAGTATAGGTTCACCATTTTCCTACTCACAAAAGCCAAAAATTTGATATCTACCTTTTTAATTTTATATCTACAAGCACAAGCATATAGATATAAGGGATAATTATAATCAAGTTTTATATAAAAAAAATTAATTACTATAAATTTATTACTGTAAAATTTCAATATAATTTTTTCATAGATCTGTTCTTCGCCTTGGTCTTTCTGACTTCCCCCTTCAAGTGAAGGCTGCCGATTAAAATTCACTTGCATAAAGCAAATAGAGTATTTTGAACGTAGTGGATAATGGATGTTAGGCATCAATAAAAAGTCAAACCCGTAGGGGAACTCGGAAGGGACGTCAAGAGAAGCATCCAAGTCAGCGTCGACACCATTCTTGTCGGCGAGGAACTGCGAGGGAAGCCATAGCTCAGCTCAGCGTCATTCACAGCTTTAACCATGCTCGGTAGCAAATTCAAAATGGAGAGTGAAGTTCAGGTGATGCCAACAATTGAAGGTGGAGAAGTCCAGGAAACCAGGATGGAGAGCGAGGAGACGACAGTGATGAAGGGAGGGAGGCGTCTAGACAGCGACGCCGCCGAAGAGGGATGGAGAGGAAGGAGAAGGGTTGGATAAAGACATACGGATGAGAATGCTTAGGGGCAAATTATGTCTTTTCACATGAGTTATTGAGGATAAAGTGGGAATTTTCTATGTATTCCAGGTGTGCAATGAATATTCATAGCCTCCACCCTAGGAATGTCTATTACCATGAAATGCGCAATGGGTGTTACCATTGCAATATTTTTTGCCACCCATAAACCCAAACAAACAGGCCCATAATGGCAATGGGGAAAAGTTTACCACTGTAAAGGTGCTATGGGGTTGAACCAAACGCTGCTGTTATTATTAGATTTATTTGCAAATAGAGTAAACTTCTAAAAAAATTACAAATTTATATTATATTATCTCTTATAGTAATAGGATAATATTAAAAAAACATAATTAATACTCTATCAAATATCTTATATTTTAGGTATTAAATTTTTTTTAAGGTGATCTATAATAAAAACTGGAGATAATGTATTTGAAAAATAATAAAGGGCGAATATCAATAAAGAACTCTAGAAGCAATTTATTTTTATAAAAATATTTTTAAAAAGTAAACATTAACAATTAATGAGTAAATTTCTTATTTTAACAAGTAAAGTCCTTACCAAATATTAAATTCTTGTAGAAGTGTTTTTTTTTTATTCTCCCAAAATATATATACGTATAGTTCTAGGCAGTCACACATTTGTGTGGCGTTTATCCTCCCAATGCTAATTTTTTCTCCTATGGCATGATTGTATTCGTATACCTGTAGAAATCCTTGTTATTAAAAAAAAAAAAGTTAAAACCAAAAATACTCTTCAGATTTTCTTCACCTCCCAGATTATCTTCTTCCTCCCCATTTTCCGTACGAATACTCTTGATTAAATTCAAGCAGTTCATATTTAATATTTTATAAAAGCATTATTAAAATATTAAATTGTGAAAATAAATAAATAAATTTGAACTAATTCATATGAGGAGGAGGGTTATAAGAGTTGAGTGAGCTACCCAAAAGTATTTCATTTGGCTGATTGAAGTATCCTGAGTCTAGAAATATGTAGTCAAGGTGAAGTCAGAAAATTTTATTTGAAGGGCCAAAATGACAAAGCAGCATATATAATAATTGAAGAAAAATTAAATATATATATATATATATATATCAATAACATAATATAAATATTTTAGTGTATATATTTATATTCAATTTTATAAATATATAACAAAAATAAATATATACATTCATTTTAAAATTTTGCTCATTGAGTTTTCATGACATAAAAATAATTAATTATCATGTCTATGATAAAATTTTTAGCAATATCCTTATTAGTATAAACTATTATTAAATTGGCAAATATTTCATCTTCTACATAGGTATTGAATGATTTAAATATATCATTGAAATCTAAAGTTTTATTCAATCAAACAAATTTTATTACTTATTTATTGAATTTATTGTTTAATTCATTCAATTGATAATTGTAGTAAATAAATATATCAATACAGTAATGATGTTCATTTGTTATAAATTTTTTATGTCAATAAAATTTAATTATATCATAGTAAAAATTATTTAAATAACAAATTTCAAAAGCTTGGTTACTACAAAAAAAGTAATTTTTTTCTAACAGAATATATTTTAATCATAATCTCTTAACTTTCAGATAAGTAATTTTATGATAAATATTAAGCATACATCATTCAATGTATCTTGAAATTTTTGTTATAGTGTTTGATAAAATTTGTTAGTAATAATTTTTATAATTTTTTTAATCAAATATAAAAGAGTTAAAGTTCAATTTTACTCATATACTTATTTTTTAGGAGCGCTAGGCACTCTATACTTTTAAATGGGATAATTTTATCCCTGAACTATTTTTTTGAAGAGTAAAAAACCCCTTTTATTAGTTAACCACTAGTTTTTTTCATTTTTTACTGATGTGGAATGTGTGTAAAACCCATGCACAGTAATATATAAGACTTTGGTCATGTCTTTTAGTCTAATTTACCCCTGAACTCTTTTCTAGAAGCGTTGAGCACTTTAAATTTTTTTTAGAAGCGTCGAGCACCCTAAAATCTTGTTAAAATAAAATTTAATAAATATTATTAAAATATTAAGTATTTTAATATTTCATAATTTAAATATTATTATTTAAAATATTACACCACCCAATTTAATATTTTAATGTTATCAATATTTTACAATGTTGTATTAAAATGAAGGGAATGAACTTATAAATTAACGAATGAATTTTTTCTTCTAATCTCTTCATTTTTCTCTTTTTTAAGCAACTTTTTTTATAGCACATTACTAAAAAAAGAGACATCTTTTAAATTAACATTTTTGTTAGCATATTTCTGGTCATGATTTGTCATGTCTTTTACTCTTAACACTGCAATGTATAGAGAGTATTAAATTTATATAGTATAATATTTTGAAAGAAGATTGTTAGTTGACCCAAAAAATTACAAAAAATGACCTAAAAATTTAAAGAACTTAACTAATACTCCCTCTGTTAAAAAATATAGAGCATTTTTTGAAGAGTTAGATGTTCAAAAATATAAGACAAGTTTAGTTTTTTAAGGTATAATCATTGTCTTTTTTTTCAAAAATGCCTCTATTAATAGTGATCTTATACTTATTATAAGGTGTTTGATAGGGGTAAATATGAAAAGATAGGATTAGTTTGAAAGTAGGTAATTACTTTATTGGAAGTGAGATTCAGTTAAAAATGCCTTACATTTTTAAACAAAGGGAGTATAAAAACTATAAGTCAGTTCTAATACGTACAAAAGGTATAATGATTTAGACACTATCTCAAATAAAAGATCAAATATCGATGTATAAAAAATAAGAAGTAATTTATAAATTTATAAAATGCTAGTTTGACTTGTTAATATTTAAAAAGTAATTTAAAAATTTTAAATGAATATTTATAAATAATAGTATTTAAATTATTAAATATGAAAATATTTAATATTTTGAAAATATTTATTAAATTTTATTTTATGCTTTTATAAAAAGACTTTAGAGTGTTTAATATTTCTAGAAAAAGAGTTTAAGGGCAAATTAGTATCAAAGGATGTAGTCAGAGTCTTATCTGTCACTGTGCGAGAGCCCCACGCATATGTCACGTTAGCAAAAAATGAAAAAGTTAATGGCCTCCTAACATAAGAGTGTTGTTGGACCTCAAAAATATTTCAGAGATAAAATTGGCCTATTTAAAAGTATAGGATGTCTAGCGCTCTTAAAAAACAAATACAAAGGAAAAATTGAATTTTAACCCAATATAAAATGAATCTAAAAACAAATGACATCCATGGTTTAAAAGCAAGTGTAGTATTATCTCGTTGAAAATAAATAAATCCTATAATAACTATATCTTCAATTTAGTGAAATAGTTAGACTATACATGTACAAAAAACTATATATAGAATTGAAATAAGAATTTCATATACTCTTTCCGTTCAAAAATGTAAGACATTTTTAACCGACTCTTACCTTTTAATAAAGTAGTTACCTACTTTCAAACTAACCCTATCTTTTCATATTTATCCATATTAAACATCATGTAATAAATATGAAGTCACTATCAATAGGGGCACTTTTTGAAAAAAAAGTAATGATTACACCTCGAAAAATTAAAAATACTTTATATTTTTGAACATCCAACTTCTCAGAAAATGTCTTATATTTTTGAACGAAGAGAGTAATATTTTAAAATTTTTATAATGTATCAATTTAAGAGGCTAAAAATATATAATCTTAATATTTTATAAAAAAAATTAAAAAATTAGGAGGCTGTGGCTCATGTTGGTCCTCCCGCACTCCACATTTACAATGGCATGAAATAAAAATGTTTAAAACATCTCTGAGATAATTGTAAGACGGACATTGGTGAGAATGGTGCCACATAGCAAGAATCTAGGTTTGCTATTATTCAAAGGATACAAAGGAAGTTGAGCGGGTTTCCCAGTCGCAATTGAAGATGGTTCGTTAAGGCAATGTTTGGATTGAGAAGAATGGCAGGTAAGAGAAGGGAAGGTCTGACTTATATATAAATAAAAGGAAAATGTCCATATCAAAACATTATCTTATCAACAAGGGCAAGAAGGATCCGCTTTCTTGTGATATTCAATGCGAATCTGAGCTTTTTGAGTACCTTTATCTCATCTGAAGGGTCTTCAATGAATTGATTCTCTTCCTTTACTTGCCATTAAACGCCCCATATCACGTCCACTCATGCCCAGTTGGCATTTTATCGCTATAATTGATGTTTGATTGCGACCCTCCTTTTTTAACCTTTTCCCCCCTTTTGATGACATTCTACTCTAGCCTTTGCTTAATATTTATGGGCCTGGTCGGCCCATCTAGGCCCATTAAATATACGACTTAAAATTGTTCTTACTGTAATGGAATTATTACTGTGCTCATAAATCTATGTTTTTTTTTTAAGGAAAATAATTCAGCTCAAATCTAATAGTAAACATGACACTCTTATGATCTTTTTTATAGAAAAAAGAAAAAAAAATTTTAATTCTATTTATAAAAAACTTGTCAATTTTTAATGCTTCTCTTTATATTTTTGCTTTTATTAAATACTTTAAATAAAAATATCAGTAATGTAATTTAAGAACATTCATTAACGATAAAAGTAAAAAAAATTTTAATTTTTAAGATAAAGTTAATAAAATTTAAGGTTTTCTTGAGTTTTGATAAAATATATTAGAAGTGATTTATAAATAAGACTAAAAAAAATATCATATACTGATGTGCTCAAAATGTGTAATTAATAATTTTGGGTGGCATTTACATGAACTTTTTTCTAAAAAATAGTTACTTCTTCCATTTAAAAATGTAAAGTATTTTTAACCGAATCTCACTCTTCAATAAAGCAGTTACCTACTTTGCAATTAATTTTATTTTTTTCATAATTATTCCTATTAAACACTCTATAATAAATATAAAGTCATTATTAATAGGGACATTTTTTTAAAAAAAAGATAATAATTATACTTTGAAAGATTAAAAATGTCTTACATTTTTAACGAAGAGAGTACAATTTAAGACTGAAGAGAGAATGCGTAATTAGTAGAACTTATGGACTGGGGAGGGAAAAACCTTCACAGAACTTTCATCCGTGGATCACAATTGGCGTCTCAACCCTCAAGCTTCCATCATCGCATCGCGGATGACTCAGCTAGCTCCGTTACCTTTTATTCGCAAATTAAATTAAAATATGCTCAATTGAGGGTATGCATTTTTTTCATCTACAATATTATAAATTTTGTATTTGACTAATTGAAGGAAATGTTTACGGGCGGGAACCCGCTACGATTTAAAATATGGATATGATCAGAATGTAACAAACTGAGAAAAAAAAATTAAAGTTGAAAACAACAGGATCATGACACTAAATTTGGTGATGAGAGAGAGCCACGTGTGTAGGTCTTGGAAAAAAACACGAAGACTATCTGTATCAGCGAGTCAAATTAAAGGTCAAGAAAGTTAGTTTGGTAACTTTGGTTAGGTATTTAGATATCATGTTCTGCTATTACATTTCCTGCAGAAACTGAGGCCAAAAGCAGAACACAGAGAAGAGAAACAGTGGTGGAGACATGGAGCTCGGTGTAAATCCTTTTCCATTAACATTCGCAGTTCACTTTCTGGGTATTGCTGCTATTGCCATGGTCTTGGTTTGGACCATTCACTATCTTGGTGGCTTAGCTTGGAACTCTTACGACAAGAGCCTCCTCTTCAATGTAACTTCTGACCTTGAGATCTCTCTCTCTCTTACTCTTCCCACTTCACACATGCATTTTAATGTCTAAGTCTCGTGTCACGTACTCTGTTTGATGCAGTTCCATCCTGTTCTTATGCTAATTGGCTTAATTGTTATTGGAGGCGAAGGTAATTAATTACAGTCCAACATATATGCTCTGAGAGAGCGTAGTGAGCGGGTTATTTATGAGCAAAGCTCTGATAATGTTTCTTTTGTGGGTGACTGTTGATCAAAATGCAGCAATCATAAGTTACAAATCACTTCCGCTAGAGAAAGAGGTGAAGAAACTGATACACCTCGTCCTTCACGCCATTGCATTGATCCTCGGAATAGTGGGAACTTATGCTGTCTTCTTGTTTCATAACGAGAAAGACATAGCTAATCTCTACAGCTTCCATTCCTGGATTGGAATTGCAGCCATTGTCCTCTATGGCGTTCAGGTAAAACCATTCGTTTCATTCACAAGGCTTAGGCGAGCACTTCAGAAACGCGGTATTTACTATTTAGGCACTCCGGTAGAGTGACTTACTGGAACACTTCTTAGTTAAAGCACTTGTATATGTTTTCCCTCAACTTTTTAGAATGCTTTCATGCATAAGCGCTCCAATACATAGACTCTTGACACTATGGGATGATCAAAATTGAACATGAACAAATGAAAATGGTGTTGCAGTGGATATATGGGTTTGTGATATTCATGTACCCTGGAGGGGATCCAGGTCTGAGGAGAGTGTCAGTTCCATGGCACATAGTGTTTGGGCTGACGGTGTACGTGATGGCTGTTGCGGCGGCTCTTCTGGGATTTCTGGAGAAGCTGACATTTCTGGAGAAGAGTGGATTGGCCAAATTTGGAGCTGAGGCTTACCTCGTCAACTTTACTTGTGTTGTTACCGTCTTGTTTGCTGCTCTCGTTGTCTTCTGTGCTGTCACCAAGCCCCCTGCTCCTTCTTACCATGACTATGCTCCTATTTAATAGTTTCATCATTCATCTGCTGGTACCACCAACAGATCTGAAGCTTGGAAAAGATCATAGCTAGGAATTCAATGGACAATTTTAGAGGAAATTAAATATATAGAAGCTTTCTTTTTTTTTTTTTGTTCTTTTAATGTTAGTTTAAATACATGACTTTTCAATATTGGGTATATGTGAGATTTCAAATGCCCTTTTGTTTCGGTTATTGGTGTTTGAAGCCGACACCAAAGTTTGATGGGTGGTCTAGTTTATTTTTATATGAGTATTCACTTTCTATTGATATATATCGTAAAATATTCAGGGAACTTTAGCTGGATCAACCACTATTTTTGACAAGGACGTTAATAAATTGTTGGTGAGAACATTGACATTTGATGAGGCAAGTTTGGTGTACTTTGGACTTCGTGGTAGCTAGCTCATCCACAGTTGACAACTATATTTTTTTTATTTTAATCATTTAAAATTGTTTGCAATAATAAAATTCAAATAAACAAACGGTCCTCTTTTTTAGATTAGATTATTAATTTCTTATAATTATAAATTAACTGCATATACTTCGGGAAAAATGAAAAAAAAGAATAAATTATATGTTTATATAAATTTCACTTTTTATATATAAGTCTTATTTATTACTTGAGAAATGTTTTTTTTATTAGCAGTTACTTCGTTCATATCAAATTATAAGATAATTATATAAGATTGCTCATATTGATAAAATACAATAATGATACTTTATAAATTTATTTTTTCAAAATAAAACTATAACATTCAAAAATAACCCTTCACATTTAATTATTGCATTACAATATCATTATAATTTTTTTACTTAAAAGATAATATTGTAAAAGTATTATTAATAAAATTTTATTTTTCTCAAATCTTATATTTTGATATAACAAAATTTCAACAAAATTATTTTATAATTTAAGACAAAAAGAATGTTTAATTAATGTTTACTGACTCAGGCGACATGTGTGGGTCTCTCCCTCTCTCCCACCGTGAGGGGTATTAAAGCGTTTGTTCCCCAAGACTAACAACTACTATCTTAATTTAATTAGAAATTTTGAATTTAAATTCTGAAAATATAGTAAATTTTTTTACTTGAGTTCAGATATATAGAACCGATAAATTACTAAAAAAAAAATTGGAAGTTTCAATTGGGATTACGACTAAGCAATTATAATTTTCTTGGCGAGAAAATTAAACTATTTCACGCACCATAACTTACTAAAAGATTTTTATTGAGGAATGACATTTTGGGACATGTAAGAAGATTAATTATAGTTAAGAAAATTGACTTGAAAATGATAAAAATTCAGTTGAAAATAATTTAATTGTAATTAAAAATCACAAGAATTCTGGTACTTAATATAATCTTCTTTCCCAAAATGATCTTTTTGTTCTTATTCTTAATGGATATATATATATATATATATATATAAACGGAATAAAAGAGTCAGGAAGTGGATATGATTTATGAGTGCGAGGCTAAAAACAAAGACTATATTCAATTATTTATATTCTTGAATTAATTTGAAAATGGCTGACAAAAGAATAGGGATGAGAAAATTTCTCAAATCCCGTTTTTTTTTGTTTTTTTTTTTTGTAGAAATTTTTCTCAAAGACTTGTTTACTGAAAGGGGTCAGAATACAGATCTTACCAGGCTCCCACAATGGGTTCTACATGGGCTCCATTTCAGGTGGACTATTGTCCAATATCTTGTGAAATAATCAAGTACGTGGGACGCACATTATGAATGGTAAAGGTTTGAGTTTCTTAAATATCATTTCAGTGTTGGGAGTTGTGCATGAAAAATCATTTATTTAGAGAAAATGACTCCTTAAATGGCACTTGAGTTTCTCTAAGGATTGGTCTTAAGGTTGTTAACTGTGGCGATACCTTGGTTAAAAAAAAAAATCTCATAAAATAGCATAGACAATTATATATAACAAAATGCATGTACTGTGGAATGCATGTAAATACCAATTAAATATGCGTGGGCCATTAAATGGATATGTGTAAGAGATTTTTTTATTTTTGTTCATTAAAGACTTGTTTACATGTTAAAGATACTGTTACAATGTTATGTACTGTGAGAGAGATAACTTTTGCTGTTAATAAAGTCTACCCCTTATGCTAAAAAATAATAATAATAAAAGATACTACTACAATAAATCACAAATATTAGAAGACAATGTTATAATGAAAAAGACTAACATGTATAACATCCTAATTTTTAATATGAGATTTTAATGAGGGGGTTTGTTAATTTGAGATTTATTAAGGTTAATAAATAACTAAGAATCTAAATGTGTTGGTTATTTGGGACTTAGGGTGGTTAAGTTGAGATTTGGTGATGAATTAGGGAGTATGTGGTGATTTTGTTTGTCACCGTAACCAAGGCTCGCAAGTTAAGCCAATGCTCTCTATTCAAGACCATCAATAGTTGAATCTAATTCATGGCAAAACCATCCATCGTTATAAATAGAAAGGGCGGACTAATTTAAGTGGCTTCAATTGTTCGTGGTTGTGACATACACAAGCCATGACCAATTAGAATACATGAGAGGAGTGGGAGACAATAGAGGGCAATGACTAGGCTTTATTAAGGCATGAATTTTTGAGGGTTTTAAGCCATTTTTGAGCCCAGTAATCACTCAAGGTAAGTTTTTAAATCCTCAGCTCCTCTCCTATTTTGTCTAGTTCTCTCTCATATTTGAAAAGTTTTTCAATTAGGGTTTCCTATAAAGGTAGAAATGCGAAGTAATAATAATTTATTATGATTGTTGATATTGGTGAAAGTATAATAAATGCTATAAAACATTTCTTTAAGGTTGGATTTCAATTTTGAGAACTTTAGGTTAAACCTTAGACCTAAATGGTTAAGTTTATGTTGAATGTGAACTTTTAGAATAATTTTCTGGGGACTGGATGTTTATTTGAGTATATGTAAATGTTTTTAAGGCTTATGAATGGTGATTTAAGGCTTAAGGACAATGCTTGATTTTTGGATGTATGTTTGGACAAATTTATGAATATGAAAGGATGGAAATGGTGATATTAGATGTGATTTGAGAATTAATTATAGTTTATTAGTATGTTGAAATTTTAGAAAGAAGTATGAAAAGTTTAAATAGAGTGCTAACCTTAAATGAGGATTAATTGTGAGTTAGGTCTAGATTTCCTAACTCTATGAATATAATCGTTTATTGATTCCAAATTGAAATTTATATTTATGTATTATGGACAAATTTGTGTAGATTTTGTGGACCAAGAATGAAAGAAGTGGTGTTGTGAAAATAACTATTATTAATATGTAATAGTGCGTTGGTGCGTGCGAGCATTATATTTGGTATTATATTATTATTTGGAAGTATGAGATTTGTTTGGATTTGTTTTTATTCGGAAAGGTTTGAAATATATATGATACGTTGGGTTTAAAATATGTGATATTGAGGATTTTGTCTGGAGTTTTTTTTTTTAATCAAGTGGTAAACTCTCCTTGAAACCATGGGTGGTTGATAGCTTGGACTAACTCACATTTGTTAGGTGACTTGGTTTTCGACACAATGTACAAAGGGATATAAGGTACAGCCATACAAATTATTTTTGCTCGAATTGTTTGAATATCATATGTATAAAAAATAATCTTATATGCTAATTTAACAATCGCATAGATAGTTGCATCATATACATTATTGTATATTAATTTTGGTTATTGAGACTTTTGTATCTCATTGTCCATGATTAAGATTTTTATATAAACAAGTCCAGTCCAACTAGGGAAGCACTAGAGGCTTAGTTTTGGTATATGAGGCACCAGTTTCTTTTGTTTGGCCTCTTTTTGGGTTAAATAATGTATATTTGTTAACCTAAAATGATTATCATTATAATTGAATATGTAGACTCTATATTTTAATTATCTTTCACATATGTTGCCACAAGGATTTTGTCTGTCCCTCGTGGCCACTGATTGACTTCGTATATCTTGCCATAAGGATTCTATTTGTCCCTTGTAGTATTTATTGTTTGCCTGGAATTCTTATGCTATGAAGAAACTTGGGATTTTGAGTAACTAGTGTTGATTATATAAAAGCGACAGGTAGCTGTAACCTAACTATGACTTTACTTTTCTCTTGTTTAGGTTATGTTTGATAGATGATGTTAAATGGGAAAATTTAACAACCCAAGTGTGTAGATATAAATTAAATTAATTAATAAAAAATTAAAATTAATTATGATAAAATAGTTAAGCATTTTAAAATTGAGGGGTAAGTATAATAAAGTGAATGGTAATTTGGTGAGAATACTTCTGGGTCTCTATTGGCTAATTTAGAGTTCAATATGGTTAATGCTAAAGAACTTATTTTATTTCTGTTCTAATATTATAAAAAAAGAAGAAAAAGAAGAAAGAATATAATATTAATAAAAATCAATAACACACACGATAGGCAGCGGTCATTAATTCTCATCCTTTTCCTTTCTTGCACATTCTCAAAATTTCAATTTGAGAGAGAGACAGAGCACGAGAGAAAATCATCCTTATTTTCTTATTTTATTCTTCTTCTTCCGATCGCTTTTATTAGTTGTCAGCGATAATGGTCTCTCTCTTCCTTGCTTTTTGCTATCACTTTGCTCTTCTTCCTTCTTTGATCGCTGCAGCGGCGTCAAAGGCTTCCCTTGCCAATTGATTCATGCTTGTTTGGTGGTTCAATACTTGTTTCTCTATCGTCCTTTAGCTTGATTTGGTGTGGGTAGGCTTGAAATCTCTCCTCCTCATTTTTTATGTGTTGTTGCCGCCCACCTGTATGTGTGAGTATGTTGCATGAGTTGTAAAATTTGATTTTTCTTCCTACTCATGTGTGATGCATGAATTAGGAAGTAGGTAGAATTTTATTAAGCTAGAAATTTAATTTTAAAGACTATACTTTGTTAGGTAATTTCACTTGAGCTATTTTGATTATTATAAGAGGAAGAAGGTAGGTATAGAATCACTCTTTTCTTAAGCCTAAATTGATCTTTGATGAGAAGTTTGAATTGTACCGTATAATTGTGATATCAAAACTGTTAGGGTGAAAGATTTAAGGTTAAGAAGTTTAAATGGACTGCTTTGGAAATTATGCATACTGAGTAAGAGAGAGTTTGTTCATTTAGTAGAAAATCTATTAAAATTCTATTATGTTTGGTAGGATTAGTAGAAGAAGAGAAAAATTGATTGCAGTTGCAAGAAGGGAATTTTGAAAACAGGGTGACATATCAGGTAAGTAAATAACGTTCCCCAATGAAAAGAAGTGATGGTATTTTTTTTGCCTTATTCATTAATTCATTCATTTATTTGTCTATCTATGTTCATTATTCAAGTTTAATTATGTATGTATTTCCATAGTATTTT